GAATGAAAACCCTGTTAGGCCAGGACGAGCTAATGATAATCAGAAAATACGAGAATGTTGCCATCATCTGACCATATCTACATTCCCGAGTTGAAAAATACCATCACAATGGTGTTCTCCATAACATAACAACTGCACGAAATCCGAATTTCTCGACCTTCCATTACCCTTTTACACCTCCAAATTACCCCAGATGGGTAATTTCATCCCTGTGAGATCCACTGTCCCTTATTACGTTGTAAGTTGAAATAGCCTCAATTTTAGATGGTTTATACCATTTGTAATGGATTGGTTGAATGAGAACGATGAACACTCGATGGACATTCTAAGGAATGCGTACAATCGCGATAAGTCTGATAATTTCCCACAAACATCCGAACATACAAAATTCTCAAATTCAGTTGTTGATGTGTTCACACAGCTCAATGAAGCACTTAAATTGCTGAAACAGGTCATTTCATTTGCGTTGTTTCATAAATATTCCGTCATTAAATATTCATCGCAAAATTGTCATATTCCCATGATAATGAGACGCAAAAAAAGCATCTAAACGCAATTGTACTACTCAAATGCTTTAATAATGATATGCTCATCTCGATCAGTTGTATCAACGTTGTTCTTCTTTTCCAGTCTTACCTTAATAAACTTCGCTGTTATCGCCGCTTTAAAAGCTGGATGAATTTAGTTATAAGCCATCTGAATTTTGAAACTTTGCAACGTAGTTGAAAGACAATTAATTTTCTTAATTAATTAATTGTCTTTAATTAATTAATTAAAAACAATTAATTAGTTTTCTGTTGCAGATGGATTGTCCAAATCCGGAAGTATTTGCGGATATGATGAAACGTTTCTCGAAGACACTCAACAAAGTGTTGTTGGCTTATGCTGATATGGTACAGAAGGATTTCGGTAAATTTGTCAGTAATGAGAAGTTGGCGTGTATATTGATGAATAATGTTCAGCAACTCAGGTGGGTGTAACTTTTGAGTATATCTTAGAAAATTTCTTCGTGTATTTCCAATCTTTCTAAGAGCCCAGTTTCTATTCTGATTCAATTCGTCACATTTGATGCGTCCATTCCTCACTAGCTTGTCTGTATTACAATGATCAAGATGCCTGAATTTGATCGCATTTTTCGTCATGTGATTGTTTCAATAGCTGGACAACTGAGTTCACTGACGAGATGATTTCTCCAACTTATTTCCAGGGTTCAACTAGAAAAGATCTATGAAAATATGGGTGGACCCAATCTGGATCCGGCCGCAAACACGGTTCTGACGAATCTGCAGAAGAAGTTGAACGCCGTACTCGATAAACTCGCCGCACAATTCGCTGACAGTTTAATACCGAAAATCCACGAGCACATGAATACACTGGCTGCTATTCTGTGCAGAATCAAGGGACCACAATTGCAGAAGAGTCAGCTGGCTGGAGTGAGTTGTCTGTTGGAGTTTTGCATGCAAGTTCAAGTCAGAGGATTCAAGTCACTCTTTAAATGTCTTGTGCATTTGTAGCGTTGAATTTATGCTGTCCCTTCAGAGACTTCTTTTTTGCCTGCAGCACATATGCATTGCATTTTGGCGTTGGGAGCGATTTAACTGAGTCGCTCGTTTCATTGCTTATACTTTCTGATGTCCTATTAATATTTCATGATGTTCCTATTAATATTTCTGTTTTGAGGAGTCAAATCATTCATTCAGTGGAAAAGTTTAAATTTCAAGGAATGTTCTCACGTCTCACTTCTAGGAGGTTGATGCAGTGCTGGAGCCATTGATGGAACTTCTTGAAGACAAACTGCAGCAGTACGCTTCACAGTGTGAAAAAACAGTTCTGAAATATTTGCTGAAGGAGCTATGGAAGATCACAATATCGAGTATGGAGAAAATTGTTGTGCTGCCACCACTTGATAATAAAGCGGTTTGTTTTTCTGATGTTGTGTGCTCTTATCAATATTATGCTTGCTAATTGTTCAGTTCCACATAATAGAAACTAGATTTTCTGTTAGCCAATCACTGCATTAAACTCAAATTCCGTGGATGAGGGAAGATCCAAGAAAATGCTTTATTCCGCTGGCAATAAGTACAGATTCTGAAGGATGAGATGTGACGTGACGATTGAAAATGACTCTCTTCAATTGATTTCGTATCGTCGTAGCCTATTCATTTTCTTGCATGACCATGAACATTATGTGGAGGAGTTTCTTTCTGAATCTACTCCTTGCAATGCTCGCCCATCTGTTTTTACTGCCTTTTTTGATCGTTTGGAAAATTTCAGCTTCTGAAGCAATTACCAAACGCAAAGATCGGTGATGTAACCAAGTTGATGTCGTCGCATCTGAAAGATGTTAAAAGCATGAGTTCAGTCAAGGAAATGATGGTTGGTTACATTCTTGCACATTTGATGACTGCTTCGAGCATTTTGAACCGTTCATACCGTTTTCTTTTTCTTTTTTTTTTCGCTATGCCATATCATTCCGAAGACTGAGAACATTCATTTGATTGGGCAACTTGAAACCGCTGCATATTCCAAGAGCACGAGGATCTTTCTCATAATCAGTTCAGTCGATGTGTCCCTATCCCTCCCTCTCTCCCTCTCTTTGAGTGGCATGAACGCAAAACTATGAACTAATTTCAAAGCGCTGAAGTCAAATTCATTTCTCATAGAATGAAAAAATATCAAGTGTTTCTCAGGAGGGGTATGCAACAGAAGTTGTGTTCATTAGGTAGCTGAATCGATGCATCCAGTTTCATTCATGTTTTTTGCAACCTTTCGAATAAAACTAAAACTGTTTCGTTAAAAAATACTGCTGCACTGTCATAATTGAAGCTATTCAATGGAATTTCTTGTAATCTGATATTTAAGGAACTGCAAAATTTGATATTCTCATGCATTTCACCGTGAGATAACTAGCTAGCTGCTCACCGTTGTTTACTTATGGATTTTGGTAAACTTTTGAAAGAATTTTGAGACTATACAAAAAAAAGAAAATATCGTTTTGGATGAACGCTCGTTTTGTTTCAAGGATATGGCACGGGAATGTGAGCGTTCGTTAACACCAAAGCAATGTACAGTGCTAGACGCAGCGTTGGATGCCATCAAGGAGTGCTTCCATGCAGGTGGTCAAGGCTTGAAGAAGTCCTTCTTCGAGAAATCGCCCGAATTGCAATCGCTCAAATACGCACTTTCACTATACACGCAAACCACTGAGCAGCTCATCAAAACGTTCATTACGAGTCAAAAACAACAAGGTGTCGTCATTTTTGCTGTCCTTTCAGCCTTTCTAAAGTGTCTTGTAAGTCAAAATGCAGCAGATACGAATGAGCTGTCGAAACTGAGCCCTCTTGATTATCTCTTGAATGAGATCAAACTTTTTCAAAGATTTTGGATCGACGCGTTCTGAATCGAATTCACGCCTTCTGAACAGATCGGATCCTCAAAGCCCAGCGCTACACCAGTAAACTATCGGCCTATTGCTCAATCATTTCTATTTGACTTAAGTACCATCTTCTTTAAGTACTATCATCATTGTATGCTGGCTTTTCGCGCTAGTCACAACATAAGCTGAAAATTTTTTGAAAAAGAAAAACACGGAAGAATCTCCATGAAACGCATATCTGTTTTATGAATCATGGTTATTGCACTGTAAGGTTTTGCCGCATCAATGGCATTTCAGTTTGGAGTCAGTGTTTTGAAGATTCTTCTTAAAGCTTTATCTATAAATGAAGTTTTGTTCGTTTTGAGAATGCAACTGAATCGATAACCT